CAGTCTTCTTCTCACCCTAACTTCATTTAGCAAACACTATGAAGCTTAGAATCTTAATCTATGTCTTTTAGAAATATTCAGCCTCTTCGTGTTATGTGTGGTAGATAACCCCCATAAACTGTCTGAAAGAAGACACCGTTGAATGAATTTCAGGGTTTGATTTGGTGACTTTCTTGCCACTCTCCCCTGCTCCCTTCCAAGGACCAGTCTTCACCTAAAGATGGGCTTTCCTCAAGTGATGGGGCTGCCCGATTTCTAACTTTTCCTCCAGTAGGAGAGATGGGCTACTCTCTTAGACCAACTGTTTCTTAGCGGCCTCAACAATCACACACACTCCTGACTCCAAGATCAGGTTTTTAACAACATCTAATCTATGAACCACGATCCATAAACAGTGAGTGACAATGTTATTACAAATAACCAATAAGACTAAAATCCAACTTACCACAGCTCTTACAACTCTCATATATGCAGGACACCCTAAACTTAGTTTTTCACAAAATTCCAGTGAACCTAGTTACTTGGTTGCTTAGGCCAGAAGAGATGAAAAGCAGCAGTCTTACTGGTAATCTAAGCAGCCATGAAAAGCAATGTAGTTTATCATGGATGTAATAGTCAAGAGAGGAATTCTGGACCAGCTCTCAGGTCTACTTGGTTTCAGGTCCTTGATACACTATCAGCTTATGAAGCAGCCTTTGGCATACATTCTCACTCACTCTTAGCTTTAACTCCTTGAGAAGTTACTGAGATCAAGAAAATAACAAGACAGCAGATCTTAAAATCCTAAGTGTTAAACAAGCTCAGCGTTAATGATGGCTGTGTGTGTGTAAAAAGTCCTATGGCAAGAGTTAGCGTAGAGTCTGCTCTGAGAAAGCAGGCAGGTGTAGCAAACAGTTTAAGGGAAATCTCATTTGGAGATATACTAAAATGGAAACTATTAGTGACTGAGACCCATTTTTTTCTTTAAGCTTTCCTGTTTTCCAGTGATCTTATTTTACTTTCTTTCCTGTCATCCCACATACTTGTCACATACTGACAAGTGACTTGGGTGAATATGGGAAATGATGTGGACTGCAGAAACCTCTATACAAGTGTTTTTGACTGATTAGAACTGTACTCTCTATCAGGGGAAAATTCTCAGGAGTGAGTGCAATTCTTTAGCTGTTTGTGTGGTCAGTTGTCCTGCCGGTCAGGAACAGTTTGGAAACACTGACAAGGAGTATTTTGGCTTTATTTTCTTAGCTGCTGGCCCCAGCTTCTTTTTCCCTCCCTCCCAATCACCTTATAGTATGAGGCTGTGGCACACCATATTAACGTATTCAAAAGTTCCCATTCCTATAAATAAAAACTACTAAAAATTTGTAGGTGCTAAAAGTTGGTTTTGAGCTTTTATTAAAAAAATATATTTGCAAACATATAAAATTTAGGATGAAAAATGCTCATTTGAAAACATGTAATAACTTAATATTTGCAAACATACACAGATGGTATAAAATTCATACCATTAAAAATGTTAATGATGCAGTATTGCGCTCATGGAACAAAAATTTTGCTGTATTCTAGGACTTCTCATTCCCACATCTGTCTGGGAGTTGAGAGCCCAGTACACTGAAAGTCATGAGAGCCACATGGCTAAAGCAGTAATACAGAATAAAACCATTTAGAACACATATTTTAAAAACACATTTCTTAAGGAATCACACAGATAAAAGGGAAACACAATTTTGCATTTTCCCATTCAAAGTGAACGATATTGCATCTTAGCATTTCAAATGAAGATGTTAAATACAAAACCAAGTGAAACATTGCACACATCTCTCCTGCTGAATTTGCTGACAAACAGACTCCTTGAGGCCCTGGCACACTCAGGGAAATGTTCTCAAGCACAGCTTTTCAAAAGCCTTCCCAGAATAAGTTCCTTTACTTGGTTCAGATCTTAAAATTTTAGACACCTGAAAACACAGGGCACTACTGGTTCCAGAAGGTACTCTGAACACAACAGAAGAAAACCAATGATAGGTAAGAAAGAAACGTGCTCAGCAGCAAATGTGCAGCAAGAATGCAGGACCCACGTCCCTGTGATTCCTTGTATTACTCACACGGACTGAGCCCACTGTGCCTGTGCCACCTCTCATTCCTCTGTGTTTCTACGTTTTGTCCAGAGTTACAATATGATGGCTGATTTAGTTTTTTAAGCAGTTAGGCACCTTCAATTTCATGTTGCATTATTAGTAATACAATGGCAGTTACCGCCTCTACTACCAAAATGAGAAAACTTCAAACTACATTCTTTGGGGAGGAGAGTAATAAAGCTGCATGGTTTAAAAATATTTACCTAGTAGAGGATTTGATGGTGTTTATAAATTTTATAGAGGAACATAGGCAGAAAAGAACAAAAGCTTGACATGCAAAATCTGGTCATATCTAAACTAAGCCTGTGAGTCTTCCAGCAGAGAAGGACCCAGGTCAAGATGGCGTCATAATTAAACACTGCACTCTGTGATGGCTACCCAAAAGTCTTTGAATGTAAGCTGTGGGCAGTCACATGCAGACACCAAGAAATGCTTCTCCTGACACTGACAGTCACTTGAAAAGTTAAGATTCAAAGTCACAACTTACATTATCTCAGGAGATGCACAACGAGGAGGCGCCTCTGCCTTAAAGGAACAGGCTGTCTGGGAGGTGCTGGAATCCATTCAAAGACATTACATTAATTACAACAAAAGAGCAGTGCCACCCGCTCAGGGTAAGGTGGGCACACAGTGGTCTAAATGCAGGTCTCCTGGAGTTCCGCAAAACCCAGCAAAGCATCTCTATTTTGATATCTATTCTGATTCAGCTAAAGATTTTAGACTAAGGTTCCAGCAAAGACAGTGCAGCAATGTAAACATGCAACCTAAGCTAGCATGAGGTTCTGGGTAGAAGCCTGAACTAGAAATAAGGCAACTGAACTGTGACTTTCGGGTCAGGGTTATCTAACGGCAACGATCAGGCTTGGTCTGACTGCTCTTGGGGTCCACTCTGGCCTGAACTTCTTGGCACTAATGACTGTGACCTTCTGGCTTCTGAATTTTAAGTAAATGCTTTGAATATATAAATTCGGGCATTGAGACAGGGTTATTTATCCTCTTCCAGTCTCCATGACTTGGGCACTTAAAAAAAGTTTATTTTCATACTAAAGAAACCTAGCATAGATTCTCTTTACCAACTATCACTCATTCCTTGGGTTAAAGGGTGAAAAAGAACAGATTTGATTACAAACCCTTTATAGGATATTCTCCCTTAACTTTCATAATATTATACATACTCAAAAGCATCATTTCAATTCAAATGTCTATTATAGCAAGAATCCTTGGATTCCTCCATTTACCAGAGCCCACTGAGACAACAGTTGGGGTGTGATCAAACCAACCAGTGCACCCGCTTTCTGCAATCAACTGAGTGGCTCCTTGGGCACCCTCTCCTGGTGTCAGCAACGCTCTTGATCTTACCATTGCTTTCTCCTTCTTGGGTGATGCATGAGCAATTCATTTTTGGTTGCTGAATTTACACACTATCTTTGAAAACAAACTATCCCTAATCCAGTATGAGAACTTGTAAGCTTCCCTGACTTCTGCATAAGTTACACAGAACAAGGTGGACAACAGAAGACATTATATCAAGAAGCAGAAAAATTGTCCAGGAAGCATGTTCAGAGTAAGAAAAGCTAATCAAAGTATTCTTTATGCTAAAAAACTAAGACCAAACTAAAACAAGTATGAAATTCACAAGTATTTTCTAAAATTCCAGCTAGGGGAAAAAAAAAAAAATCTAGACTTATGATTGAGTTACCATTAAAGCTTAAATGATTGTTCCCAAGGAACCATCACATCTGTCAGCATTATTCACAGCTAATCCTTATGCTAGCTGGTTGAGCCAATTGGGTTTTTACCCCATCATTAAATAGTGCTCAGAGAAGTAAGCAGTGCATCTTAATTGGTTAAATACTACAAAATGACCTGTATCATAGAAATGAAGACACTTTCATTCAAAGAATATCTTAAAATTACTATTGCTGAAATAAATCAAAATCTACATTAAAATATTACTGATCACCATTACATGCCATAAAAGAATAAATATAAATCATGGCAGATCAATAGCAGCATAACAAAGCATCTTTACATATTTTCACACTTTGGGCTGGGAAAGTACTCACAGCCTAGAAAACATTGGTAAAGTTCTGAATTTCACACACTGTTCTTAACTCAATATTCTACAATAAAGTAAGGGCAGTGTGAATACAGCTCCCTTTTCTGCATAGCTTTGAAACTATCCTCAGTAGACTCAAGGAATGGAACCAGAATGGCTTTGTCAGATTGGTCCACTGGTTCTTTTGTCAAAGTGTTAAGGAAAACAATCAACAATGACTTCTGTGTTTAGACAGAAAAAGAAAATAAGGCTATGCTTTATCACACAATCTTAACATTTTCAAAACTACTGGAGAATTTAACTTCAGTGGAGATTTACCAGCCCCAGCCTTTGCCTCAAAGGCTTGACATGCTTGCTCCCACACTAGCACAGGCCTGACCAGCCCAACTCAAACAGTGTCACGACACTGGGAGCCTGCTGCATGGCAGCACCTCAAGGGGACACTTAAAAACAAAACACAAGAAGAAATTTCAGAACTTCTAAGGCCCAAGTGGGGCATTCATAGAAAACACACTTTACTTAAACCAATCAGACCTAATTAGCGAACTCAAATTCTAATCCTTAAAACTCAAAGCTCCTTTGTACAGAGCTGACTTCTGCTTTGTTTAGAACTGGACTATCATTCTAATGTTCAAGTTTCTAGGGAGAAGGGGTTGGGAAGGGGCTGAATTCTGCTGTGAGGCTGGTGACTCCTCCCTAAGACCTTGAAAGTGAAAGCAAGCTGAATATCAGACTCCTTATTTCACATACTTGCTTACAGTTGATAAAACACCCACACAAATTAACACAATAGGTTTTTTTTTTGTTTGTTTTGTCAAAACAAAGGTCTGCTGGTGATGCTTCACAGTGAAACCTCCATTATCACTGAGAACGTCACTTGGAAAACATTCTTGAGTAATGAGTTTCTTTCTCATAGGCTCAATTTCAGGATTCTTAAAACTCAGTGTTCTGTTTAGAAGTTCCCATGATGAGGCCTATTTGTTTCTGAGGTCGACATTCTGCCTTCAAATTCATTCTCCTCCAGTCATAGGTTGAGGGTTTTATCTTTGTTCTTGGTCAGAACCTGCAAGTAGACTTCGTGAAGTGTACTGAGGAAGCTGGAATCATTCTGCAAGAGATGGTAATATTTGTTATATTTTCCTTACTGGAACTTATTTCCTTGATAAAAACTTAGGGAAGAAGGTATACAAATGACTTATATAACTAAGGACCTAAAGAATACCAAGGCCCAGAGACAACCATGACTAGTATTTTGGAATTCATTGGGATATTTCTATACCAGGAGTGCATGCTTATGAAGAGAGAAACATACCCAGCTAGTTTTGAATTTACTCTATGAACCAATTTTTTTAAGAACTTAAAATTTTTTTCTTAAATTATAGAATGAAAACTAAACACTAAAGTGATATCCACATACCTTTATTAGATGTATTAATGTATCCTGGAGCTGAGACTTGCTGAGAATGATGGAAGGCTTTCTTTGATTTTCTGATGTCCCAACAGTTAGAGGAGAAGGGGAGCTTGCTTTCCTCTCAAGGTCTGTGGACCTTGTAACGGTCTGCTGGAAAACACTGGGGGACAGCAGGACTGAAGACACTGCTGTGGTCGTTCCAGTAGCAAGTGGGGGGCCTGCAACCTGCAAGGCAACAATGGTCACTTGCACCAAAGTGCAAAAGCTGGCAGCCAGGCCCAGAGCAGGGGACGTTGGGTAACTGGCACTAGTAGCAGGAGAATGAAGTATCGAGTCTAACACTGACTATTTGGGGTTCAGGCAAACATTCAGTAGACACACTCGAGCATTTTACATCTGGTTATGAAGTTTGCTAACTAAGGATAAAGAAACCATTTATAGTATAAAAACCCCCTAGGAGTAGTGGGAATCAAGTCCAATCATCACAAGAGAATATGATGTAGTATGACAAGCACAGTAAGAACAACCCATGATAAATGTGAAGCTTTTATATGGAGGGGAGGGGCAAGGAAATGATTGGAAAAGGGTAGGAGTGAATTTTCCGAAGTGTTGGAAATGTGAAATGTCTTGGTGGTGTTGTTATTCTTGAATTGTATGCATGTCAAAATTCACGAAAAAGGGCCCTCCCTGGTGGCGCAGCGGGTTAAAGCACTGCACTGAGAAGCTAAAGCCATTTCCGCATGAGTTCAATTCCCGCCTGCCCCGGAGGTGACCAAATGGCGTGGCAGACCTCTCCTGACCCGCCCGCTGCTCCCCTCAGCAGTGTGCTTCCTCGATCTGCCTGTTCTGCTCCCCACTCTGTCTCTGGTGAAGCCTCTCACCGCCCCTGAGCCTCTGACCTGTACCCCAGTTCTGTATGTACAAATAAATAAATCTTTAAAAAAAAAAAAAAAATTCACGAAAAAAAAATCTGTATTTTATGTAAATTTCAATAAAAATTCAATAAAAAGTGGATAAAGAAAACCCAGTTAGGCATGAAACATTAGTTTCTTTTGTAGTTTTTAACATATTTTTAAAATTATAGGTATGAAAGATATGATAAAATTTCTAAAAAACTAACCACAGTTTAGATATGCTTTTAGACTAACAGTGGCTCTCCATTAGAATACACTGAATCAGTAATAATCAGTACTTTTAGCGATTCTCACATTTGATACAGTCAAGAAAACCATGTTTCTCTCTGTCACCCTCCTCATTTGTATATAAAAAAGAGCTTGCACAGGCTTAAGAATGTGGTTTCTATTGTCTGAGCTGTTTAGCAGCACCAGGCTGAGAGCACCTGCTGGTCATAAGCTGCAGGACTGTGTGTAGAGAAGACTGGTTACAAAGACCAGTCAGAAGTTGGCTTCAGTTTAAGTTTTGAGATTTCAGGAGAGGATTAAAGGATCACAGGCAAGCAGAAGTGTTAAAACTGTAGTTATCAATAAATATAGTGTACACTTCATGGCTATAGATCATGAATGGTGGGGACAACTTTATAAAAATGAGGCAGGGAAGCACTAGCAAAAAAGAACAAGCAGACTGGGAGTCTGTACATACAGCAATGGAAGCCAGAGCAAGTCCTGAAGCATGAGAGTGACTGTTAACTGGGACATAACAGCTCTTTTAGGCTAGAGGCCAGCAGCTGCCCATTCAAACACTGGATGAATGCCCATCCCATGGCCTACTCTACACTCACACAGTCAGGAAAGACACCTACACAGAGAGATTGAAGCAAGGCCTAAGAGGCTACAGCACTGAACTCTGTCTGGGACAGCATGGGGGGACCCGGGTGAGGAGATGGCATCTAAGATGTGTCTAGTCTTCAAAGTTACACTTTTCATAAAGTGACACTTTCCATTCATACCAAATGAAACACACGATATGTTGTTCAGCAAAATAAATCCTTACCGGGATGGCACTGGACAACACCTTAGGTTGGGCAAAGATTTCAGGATCCTGATTTTGCTGCATAGACTGCAATGCAAACAAAACCAAGAGTTTTAAAGGCATGTTCCTAGGCAGTGGGGAAAAGTCTAGATTAGTAATAAGGAGCAGTACAGACATTAACTGGTTTCTAGATTCGTAAAGGGACAGACTGACAAGAACTTGTTATAATGCAACCAGTAACCAACAGCAGGATGAGCGCTTTGAGACAGTGTCCACTTCAGCTCCCGTGAGAAAGGGCTAGGGGTGAAGTCTTAAAGGTATCCCTATGCAAAAGGTGAATCCTGTATCTATGAAGTCCAAGAATACTTTTGCTATTGAGTCTGTAAAGATGCAAGACCCTGGTAGTATGACACCTCCTAAGACAATTTAATAGGTAACACATGCTAATTTTTGTCCCCACTCACTAGGAAACAAATAATGCCTTATTGCAGAGCAAATATGTTACAACTCAATGAAGTCGCAGGGTGCTATCGCACAGGTGAGAACCCGAGGGGGCAGCGCTCAAGATTACTGGGTGTATTTTCAGAGCAACAGAAGCAGTGGCTACAGGTACTATCCAGAAGCATGTTACCACCTGTTAAACAAAACTTACTCTCTTACTGCAGAGAACCTCAACAGAAATGGCCAAAAATGACAATATAATGATGTAACCTAGACAGAGTGGCTTCTTTTTCTGCACAAGATTTCAAGGGAGTGGGAAAAAATACCCTATTGACTAAAAATTATATATTTATGATATGAACTCTATACAATATGTAAAATGTCAAGACTGGGGTTTACTACTATTAAAAGGATATGAGCCTAAAATCCTGATGGGCAGCCAATACCGATTTAAAGCAGAAGGCCCTATTCTCTATTAGTTCTAGACCTTGAACAAGTTACTTCAACTCTGATTGATTTTCTCGTCTCATCACCAACCTTATAAATTATTGAGAGATAAGGCTCTTATTCACCCCCGCATACCCTATCATTGGGTCCTTCTGACCAGACATCTTAACAAACCTACTCGTCCACATTCTCCAATTCAGACCCAAGCCAGCTCAAGCCTATGTCACTATCAGTCTTCTTCCTGAACGGCTGTCAAATATTCTCCTTTCCCAATATGCCATGCTTTGCACAAAGCCTTTGAAAGATGTTCTAGGAATCTGAGAACAAACTTTTAATTCCTTAATACGATTTGCAAAGTCTTGCTCATCAGTCACTACTTCTCCATGGCTGATCTAGTCATGCTATAGTTCTTAAGGCTCAGCAAATACTGCCTCATCTCCAGGGTACTGCACATGCTATTCCTACTTCTATGAAAAGGTTTTGAGTACTAAGGTCTCAGCTGAACATCTAGAAGTTTTATTTGATTCATTTCTCCCAATATGGATGGTCTCAACAGCACCTCTAGCGTACCTGGCATTCAATGAGGTACTGAGGGAGGTGGGATAATTTGGATGTACCATGCTAAGTCCAATGACTCCTGAAAATGTCAGAGAGAAACATAAAAACTCTAACATGCATACCCTGATAAGAAAATATGGAATACAGTTTCCTTATTTTACTTAGTCGAAACAATTTTGGGGAATTATGCTTCTGCATGGTTTACCGATAATCTGGTGGTTAACCATTGGGTATTCCCCCCACACCTTTCCTCTAGCCTTTCATGTATGCAATGATTGTCTTTGAGACCATTGTTTCGGATCGGTCAAAACCAAGGTGTCTGCCACTTCATCCCACCTAGTTGGAGCCCACGCCTTACTTTTAGTACCTGAAGGGGAGCAAGCACCATGTTGCTCAGGGAGGCTGAAGCTACGGCTCTTGCTGCTGCCGTCTTAGGGGAAGGCTCTATGAAGCTCTCAGGTGTAGCCAGCTGGCCAGCTGCTGGAGAAAAGCTGGGTGCCACTGCACCTTTCCCAAGTGACTGTGTCTGTATTTGGTCATGCTGTGGGGTCAACCTGAGTTTCTGGAGAAGATCAACGCTTGGGAGGGATGTACCAGCTGTGTTTGTCATGCTCAGTGGGGCCCTGAAGGGACTCTGGTTGGCAGTCAGACTGGTGTGAGTCAGCTCAGAGACTGGCTGACACAGCAGTGGAGACCTCTGTCTGGGTGTAGTCTTCACTGCCTGCATCACGGTGGTGCGGGGAACCTGGGCAGCAGGAGCTTCTGTTGGCAGAGTGGGACTGAGGACAGGGCGTAGAGGGATCGCATAGCTGGGGGCCTGCTTTTCATTGGATTGTGTGATCGAGGCAGGAGTGATTAGCACCGGGGTCGTGACTTCAGGTTGCAGTGAGTGGTGGGCAGCAGGATGGACACTCAGGTTTTCCGACGGAGCAGCCCCTCCTGACTGCTCAAGGGAAAATGACAGGAATGAGCCGGGCTCTTTCTGTGAGGCGTCTCCTGGCAGTCTCTCCACTTCTTCTGAATCCATACCCACAACTGCTGGCTGTTCCTTTGGCAAAGAGGTTCCAAATAATTCTTCCACTGTCAGATGTTTGTGTCCAGATGGAGCAGACTGAGAAACAAATCAAATCATTTAATGAAAGAGAGCTCTTACAAGTCAGATAAACCACACTTCTTTTTCAACCAAAATAGCAAGGATGGAGGGAGTCAGAAAATAAGGAAATGGAACAAACCAGAGATACATTAGAGGAGTTGAGGTGAAGTTGCATCTAGTTTCCCTTAGTGAGAGACTCAGCATTAGTAACAGAATTCAACTTTTAGGAATTTCAGGTGACATTAGAATTCACCCTTTTGGGGCACATGGATATAAGATAGTGGGACAATTAGCTTATTACAAAGTCAACTGGGCCTCACCGCTCCATGTCAGTAACAAATGCAAGGAAGTGACACACAAGAGAACAGAAGGGTGAAATGCTCATCAAGTAATTCTACCTTTACTTTCACTGTTCTTGACAGAAATCTAGGCACCAGCCTGCAAACAGCAGACATTTATAGCAAGCTATTCCTCCTCCCTACACCTAAATCACAGAGTCCTTAAGGGAAAGCAAAGTGCTTTCCAGGGGTGATGACTTCCTCTACATGAGAACCTGCCTCTCACACAGGATCTCCCTCATTCGCTCCTCTCCAAAAAAGGAGAAGCGGAAACAAAAATAAATGGCTGGTGCAGAGCCCCAGTTCCTACTTCACAGACGTGAAATGCCCGGATGCTATAAAATCACCACTATCTTGCCACGCACAAAGGTAGTTTCCTGTGGTTACTCCACTGTCCTCTGCCAGCATATGGGAAGAAGAGCAAGGCTAATGAAGGATGCTCCTTAAAACAGAAGCAGCAACAAGAACACCCTGAATCAAGATGAATGGGAAGCCAGCCCAATAAACACATTATGGATTTTTTTTAAAGCAAAGTACTTAAGTCTGAAACAGTTAAATTGATACATATTTTAACTGAGCTGGCTTACTGATACCACTCTAATGATTTAAAGGAGAAAACATCTATGTTTCCCACTTGTGAGTTTTCCCATACTCCTGTGCATTATGGGTGTATTCATTTTACCTATATTAACTTATTACCAACAAGGTGTTGGTTTCCTGCTATGACTTGGGTCCCACAGAGTAACCTAAAAATTCTATCCTGAGAGAACTTATACTTTAATGGTAGATGAATCTAAGTACTCTGATAATACAAGCAGCCTCAACTTATGGTTTTATTCCTTAAGTATGTGGCGTAATTGGTTCTTTAGATATGTTCACATGTAAACACCAACACACATGACTTTCAGATCCTCAAGAAGGCTATAAAGGTCCTTAAGTATACTGTCTCTGAAATATGACAGCACTATAACGATCACATTTCTAGAAGAAAGCTCAGTTTTTCCAAGGCAAATCTTTGTTGTACTCATTTGTCTGAGTTTACCACTGGCAAGGGTGCTGTGATGGGCAGGAATAAGGAAAAGAAGAGGTTTTTAGCTTGAGGAGAAACTACAGTCAGTGGGCCCCTGGAGGGTTGGGTGGTAGTTAATGGGAACCCCTTGTTGAGGAGGGACACCAGGGAAAGGCGGCCTGACCAGGAGCTGAAGGGGACGGGGAGAGGTGGTGGAGCAGGTCTGAGGAGAATGTAAGCAGGTGGAAATAATTTGTGGAAGAAAAAAATATTCAATAAAGAAAATCCTATTAATATTAAAAAGCTAGTAAAATATATACTAGCAAGTTAATGTGACAAGAGGGTTTTGTTTAGTGAAGGGATTCTCAAGGGGCAAATGCAGGACCCCTACTACCTATGCTGTAGTCAGGCTGTAAGACTACCTTGTCACAACACTATCTAGTAGCACTTTGAGGCATAATCCAGATTCAGAATCTCACCTAGAATATAAAGCAGTACTAACATCTAATTATATGCTGTGTATGCTAGTGATTTTATACGGTCTTATTTCCTCACATTTTTACTTCTAAAAAATACTGTAGATCTTAGAGTTTGAAAAGCAAAACTATCCAGGTACAATTCCCAGGTATTAGCTGGGAAAATTATATAATCTTTCTAGTTAGTTTCCTCATATGTAAAATGGGGACAATTGCGATAATAATCTTATAGAACTGCTGTGGAAATTCAATTTAATACAATGTTTGGTGCCCATTAACTATTCAATAAATGGAAGCTGGCTGATATCATCATTTAAGAAAAGATAGAGACATAGAGCGCTTTCTGAATAGAAATTATAATTAAGTTTATGTTCAGATATGTTTAAGGAACATCAAATAATATGTTGGGCTATTATAATTTCATCAAATCTTTCTGGAATATCATATCCCACAAATGTAACACAAAAAATAAAACAAAATCACCTGATGGAATATCACAGCATAAAGCATCCTGTCCTGCCCTGATTTAAGGAGTCATTAAAGACATAGCCACCCCTTAAAAATGTAATTCATCCCAACAGACACTGAATTCTCACTTGGGACACACAAGTTTCCTTCCCTGCCAGGCAACACAATGGTCACAGAGTGCAAAGCGTCCACTTCCCACCTTGAACACCGACTCACTCGTGGGGCTGTGGCACCATAAATATCTATGGAGATGATGACCTGCCCCCAATTTCTGAATACCATAAAATATATATGCATTAAATGCCAATCAAGCAGATTATAGGTTACCTATCTACTGGGTATGATGGTGACCCCTGGAAAACAGGGAGCCACTAAGGACTGACTACAGGTCCAAATGTACCAACTTTAGGAAATACATAACTAGCTGAATTAGTTGCAAGATGCTAAATGAATGAGGCTTACTTCTCTCCACACAAGCTCCCAAAAACTCTACAGTCTGCATGTTAGACTTTCCTGTATGTAACAAGAAAAATTGGGTATAGTTTCCTAGTATTTGAACTTATTTCTTCATGGAGTCATTCTCTATCAGCTATAAAAAAGGTGAAATTTTATTCTTATAGGTTAAGCTTAAAGACTGAGTTCTGAATTTTGTTAATACCTCACTTAGATCACGTGTAGTCTGATAATACCCCTTGGGAATGGAATTCATGCATGTAGACACTAAAATTCTAGTACACCGTATGAGATTTTTATATTGTTCTTTCCTCATCCCACAGATCCTATTTAAAGAATCCCTTATTATTGTCAGGATCTAGCATGCCCATGTCAAGATTTTCCACCTGGTCAGTGCATCAGGCACACACTAGAAGGTATGAATCAAAACAAAAAAACAAAAAACAAACAAAAAACAACAAACAAACTTGAAAAATAATCCCATGAGAATTTTAGTAAGTGAATTATGATACTGAGATGCAATTCAATACTATTAATACCTGACAACATTATTTGTTCCTCAACAGTAGGTGGCAGTGTTATTAAATAAATGTAGTATCTGTGCCTAGGGGCTGATTATGGATTTATGTTCATTTTAGTCAATCACGTGGTAGCTGTACATACCTTATCCTGCGACCCAGCCAGTGTCTCTTCTAGAGTCTCAGTGCTTCCCAGATTGGAGAGTTGAGTACTTGGCTGCAACCCAGGGCTGGAAATGTTTGAATCACCCATCTGATTCTTAAAAGGAAAAGTGTATTATGTGAAAAATTTGCCACTATTTGGATCACAAAACAGTATTCAGGATGTAAAGAAATGCTGTTTTAAAAAAGCAAATAGAAAACCCAGACATAAAGTCACAGCTTTATGGACAGCTAATCTTTGATAAAGGAACAAAGAATATGTAATGGAACAAAGTTTGATCAACAAATAGTGCTGGAAAAGCTGGGCTGTTATGTGGGAAAAAATGAAGCTAGATTAGTACCTTGCACTAATACACAAAACCAACTCAAAATGGACTAAGACCTAAACATAAGACCTGAAACCACCATATATATATATATCAGAATATTGGTGAAACACTACACGACATACAACTCAGTATCATCTTTAAAGAGACATCATCTAAAGCAAGGATAGTGAAAGAAAGGATAAACAGCTGGGATTATATCAAATTGAAGAGCTTCTATACAGCAAAAGAGACACTACATAAACAGATACCCCACTGATTGGGAGAAAATTTTCACACATAATACAAATGATACAAAGAGCTGACAAAGCTCAACAAATACGAAGTGAACAACCCCATCAAAAAATGTGCAAAAGAGCTACAAAGACACTTCTCCAAAGATGAAATGCAGATGGCCAACAGGCATATGAATAAATGTTCAGCATCACTTATAATAAGGGAAATGCAAATCAAAACCACAGTAAGATTCTACCTCACCCCAGTGAGAATGGCACATATTAAAAAACAAGCAACAATAAATGTTGGTGAAGATGTGGAGAAAAAGAACTCTCCTACACTGCTGGTGGGAATGTAAACTGGTGCAACCACTGGAAAACTGTATGGAAGTTTCTCAAACTACTAAACATGGAGCTTCCATATGATCCAGCAATTCCACTCCTAAGTATCTACCCAAAGGAAACCAAAAACAGTAATTCAAAAGGACACTTACACCCCTATGTTTATTGCTGCCCTATTTACAGTAGGGAAAATATGGCATCAACTCAAATGCCTAAAAACAGATGACTGGATCAAGAAGATGTGGTATACATATACAATGGAACATTACTCAACAAACAAAAAACAAATTCATACCATTTGTAGCAACATGGATGGAACTGGAAAAGGTCATGCTTAGTGAAATAAGCCAGAAAGAAAAAGAAAAAGGAAAATGCTAACGGTTTCATTCATAGCATAATCTATGATTAATATAGTGATAAAATAAAAGAGAACAGCGACCAACAAATATAAACCAGACACATTCTACTGGAGAGGAGAGAGGATCGATGTCAAAACTGGGATAGGAAGAGCACATGGGACTACAGTGATGGCACATGGGTTACGTGGTGGTGGGAAGTACACAGGGATTACAACTGAGATGAAAAAATGTTCAAAATGAAGAATAATGTAAAAAATGTACTTATAAAAAACAAACAAACAAAAGGGGGACCTCCCTGGTGGCCTAACCACTAAGTCTCAGCACATCCCTCCTATCTTGTCTGCTGCTCCCCTTAGCAGTGCGTTTCAATAAAACCTGTTCTGCTCTCTACTCTGTCTCTGGTGAATCTCTCACCTCCGCCCCATGATGCTGGCCTATACCCCAGTTCTACACACAAAAAAACAAAAACCAGAAAACAGATACTAAACAAATAAACAAAAACACATAAAACAAAGCAACAAAATCCCTTCCCCTCCTGAAGTTTGCTTTGGATCCTAATTTAAACAATTTCTTTATTTATTGGCCATAAAACTTTTAAGACATGTTTTCTTTTGAACTAATTATTTCTGCTGGCCATTGAGGTAACGTTCCCAGTTCACAAATACCCCTGGCAGATCTTTTCTTTTGGTGCTTCCTGGTTACCACAGATTCTTACCCTCTCATACTCATCCTTGGCTCTGCTTAGCATCTCCAGGATGTCAATAGGCCTGTGGTCGCTGCAGCCATTGGCCTGACTAGGACTCTGCTTATCCCGAGCAGCTAGCTGAGACCGCCGTGTCTCCTCTTCTACCACACTAGAGGAAGAGAACCAGGTTTAGAAAGAAATACAACCTGACCCAAGAACTATTGTGCCATCTGTCAAGGATACAGGAAGAATATCTCATGATAATAATGTTCTTAAAATACAAACAGTTTTGGTTATTTCATTACAGGAAAATATGACTAAACCATTTCACTATCTCATTCACAATGGTGTTAACTACTATCTTCCACTGTTAGACAAGTAACTCAGACTCCTTTCTAGAGGTGGTAAAGGTAGGTATACTGAAAACTCTATTAAGTTCTCTCTCATTTTTTAAGTACCTCAAAAATCAGTCAGGAAATAGCTTGATAGTCCTGAGCCTAAACCCCTTGTGCCACCCAGGGAGGCCCTACATGTTCTTTATTTTGACTGGTGCTGCTTCAAGAGAACTTTGGGTTAAGAACGCTACTGATAAGGTTTGGGGTCTTCAAATCTACCAGTGAGGTTTCATTTCTTAAAACCATCTTCCCTGGTGGCACAAGGTAAAGCTCAGCATTATGAAGCTATTGCAGGCACTGCAAAACAGGTTCGATCCCTGGCGAGGGAGTGACCTACATGGTGCAGTAGACCTCTCCTGTCTTGCCCGCTGCTCCCCTCAGCAGTGTATTTCAGTCAATCCACCTGTTTTGCTCCCCCACTCTGTCTCTGGTGAATCCCTTTTCCCTACGAACCTTTGACCTACCCCCCAGTTCTTGTATGCATAAACAAAATCAAATCTTAAAACCTCCCTTCCTGCATACAAAGGCTGGAAGAAATCATAGCAAAAAGTTAGGAATAAAAGATGGTGGTGAAGCATAAGGATATTTTATTATTCTTATGATATTTCTCCAGGATTGATATACAAATATAATTTTTAATAGAGTTGATTCACTTGTTTTCAAAGCAGTTTAACTTTGGATCTGGCAGTGGTAAATGACAAACAATTTTACTTTATTGCAATTTTTTGTTTTTTCATAATTGGTAAGGGTTCCCTCAATAATCAGAAAAGAGCACTGTTTAAAATAGCTCACTAGTTAACATTATTACAGGCATCTTCAGTCTGAATCTATCTGAATCAAGGATTCCTGTTATGCAGCCTATTTCTACTTCCCTCCTGCCATACAACCTGGCCTGTTCATGTTGGTCTTCACCTATCCTATAATTTGGATGGGATTCAGATTCAGGCCAGGCCACCTTACAAAAGCTCACCACTGTTGACAGCAGAAGCTGTCCAGGTGGCATGGAAGGGACCCTCACATGATTGAGACTTGGATTCTGAGGCTTCTTCCAATTCAAATTCTTAATAGTATCATTACCTCTCTCACTTCTTAAATCCCCAAATATGCCTCGACTATCAGTAAGTAAGATCAGGAGTGAAGCCTCCTTCACAAGTTCTCTAGATGTTATAGCTAATATAAGCAAATAGTCAAACAAATTTTTATTGTCAAAAAAACATTCTGGCAGATAAGTTTCCTCTTTTTAAGAAAGTCAACATTTCCCACATCAGTGAATTTTTACAACTTTGCCACCAACCAAAGATGTTTTAAAAATTTAGATAGAGTACAGGTTCAGAAATGTGCTCACTCATTTTACATAGCTTCTCAGTTTTTATAAAAATATCTTTTAGAATGAATAAACTTTTTACTTGGAGAATTTTTTTATATTATAGCTGTTAAAAAGTGATAAGAATAAAATTTAACAGAATAAGTACTACAGGCACATTTATTTAGATGTGTACTATGTAAAAGCAATTTTTTTTTACCTGAATTTTTGGTTAGTTGAAGCAATATTCTGAAATATGTAGCAAACAGAGGCTATATACAGAGCCTTTTTTAATTTGTGGTGACTAGAGCACCGTTATCACAGTTAATGTTAAGATATAAGGTATTCTCATCAGCCATAAATAGGCCAGGCACTTGAAAACACACTATCAATAGTTGCATGAGGACATTCCTAATTGCTCCCAATACCTCCCCTGCTGCTAGTAAAATAAGCTTGAATGCTTTTCTTTTCTCTCTCTGCTTCTCCTTCTTCATCCTATTTTTGGGTTCAGTACAACATTCAGATTAGGCCTTTAATCTGTCACTTCATTTACCATTTGACGTCTTATACCAGTGTTACTATTGCCTTGATAGCAAAAAAGAAAAAGAAAAAGCTTAAACTAAAAAAAGCCTCTACAAAAAGACACTCAGGGCTGAATTGTATTTCTTGTATCTCAACTTGCAGGAGAAATTGTGTCTGTATATTCATATATTTCAAAGCTTAGATATTTATGGAAACTATTCTGGATTTCAGGGTAATCAAGAATTGAAAAATCTGCATCTTCTACGTAACCAAAAGTTGTCTTTTGCTGTCACTTTCAAAACTATAAAAAAACAGCAAATAAGTGGCTTTGCTAAAAAGAAGCCTTATTTTTTTGTTTGGAGAAAAGGTATTTGGCAAAAAAGTGAGGTTCTAGACAGTCAACACAGTTTGAAATATGAATTACACAAGCTCATATGAAACAATGTCTTCAGGGACACACCCATTAACCATTAAAGTCTGTCCCACAAGATCACAGCCACAGCAAAAAAACAAGATGTTGATAAATATCCTATCAGGCTATGTTTAGCAGTCCTGGATCAAAAGTTGGCCAATTGTCATATGTGCTTCTTTTTAAATGCAAATGAATATACAACAACCAAAACAACAACAAACCCAAAAAACAAAAACCCCCCAGGAATTGGGTTATTTAATTATAACAAAGTTTAAAATTAAAGTCAAGACTATTTTTCTTACAAACATGCAGATAAAAATATTTCAGGACAGCAATGGAAATTTTGATTTGACAGAGGGAAAAACGTGTCTCAAATTTCTGAAGTGATTAGAGCAAAAACTGAAAAGGAAACCAAGTGTACCAGAACACACTCCACTGTAGAATTTTGCTCAGAGCTATGTAGCTCCTTGGGCCTTTCTATTGCTGCGGGTGTCCTGGGCTCCCAAAATCCAGGTTAGCAGTACCAGCAATAGAGATACAGCCAGATCGGGGGTGGCTGCTGTGGGCTAGCTTGAAAAAGAGATGAGTCATCTTTGGAATTAGTAATTCAATGAAAATTTCTTTTCAAATTCCAAGATTCTTATGTATAAGAAATCTCCTGGAACACAGCCTATTAGTGAACTGGGGCCTACTAAATCTAGAATCTGTGTTACAAATTAATTAGTTTAGAGGAATTAATCATAGATATATGTGAGTTCTCTATCACATAGTTATTGAACACAGTGCCACTTGTTACAGGGGAAATCTGGGTAGAAGCTAACACAGATTCCCTGTATAGTGGTTAGGCTGGGAACTGGATAAGATGGTATCTGGAGCTGGACAGTTTGACTGCACAGAGGCAAAGTACAGCAGGAATGAATCCTGAACTCAGTGAAAAAATTTAATGGCTACTGGGGGCAACAGGACAGGAGCGGGTAGGGGTGGGAAGGGAGGCAGAGGGAGTAGTGGCACAGGTGATTTGGCGGAGGGAGAATGGCACACTGGCACATATGGGAGAGGAAAAATGTGACTCTAAAGTGAAACGAATGAGCCAAGCAGAGAAATACTAGTAAGGTTCTGGTTAAATTATCATCAATCAGTAGGATTGGACAGTCATCATAAATACTACAAAGAACAGTTCAATGCCCCCAAATACTACTGACATGAAAAGCTGGAGTTATAGTTTGATCATATTTTTTGCAAGAAACATTTTGTAAGAATCAAATGAAACAAATTAACCTAATGAAAAGATTGGAAAGAACAAAACTAAAATGCTAATACTGGGAGGCATTTTTAAGTTTCTTTTAAGCTTTCTGTCTTTTCCAAATATTTGACAATAAATAGGAAATCAGGAAATAATACATGAGTTAATAGACATTAGTAACAATGATAAAGGGGAAAATATTTTTTTTCATCTCTTATATATCATTAATTAAATTTATGAAGTAATGTACTTACTTGGCCATGAGTTTGGCTATGCGGTGGCAGTCATTCTTATCATAAAACCAGATACTGTATATTGACACTTGAAAAACAAAAGGAGAAAAAAAATGAAGAGATTTTAGTATTTGTTTATTTGCAAGTAATATATTAACAACATGTCACATAATTTAACATCAGGTCCTCAAATTATTAATGATTCCTGTGAAGAAAATAAAAGTTCCCACCAAAACTGATTAATATAAAAATTCATAAAATTAGGACAGGTTTAATATGCAATGAAAATTGCAAAAATAGTTGGTTTTAAGACATATTACCAGATCTCACCAAATAAGATATCATTAAGTATAAAAGGAACTTAATGTATTTTATGTATTACCAAGAAAGAAATGTTAATATCAATATTGACTGCAAGATGTATTCCAAATTGATATTAAGATATATGAAAGGTGTCTCAATTAATAAAAACCAATTGTATCAGCTAACAAAACACCAGAACCTTTAAGTCTTTTGAAACCTAAAATACCGGAGAGAAAAATAGAAAAAAAAAAAAAAAAAAAAAGCTTTAAAATAAACACCAGCCCCAGAACTGCTCTATGGTCACAGCTGTTCACAAGTGAAAAGGAAGCGATGGGACTGAGTCTATCATATCTCTCCCCTCTGCCATTTTTTAAATTCCTGGTATGGTGATCAGCAGTAAGGAAGCCCTAGAAAATATTTACTGGATAAATAAACAACACCTAACTTACAACATTTTCTAGAAACATTGAATAAATAAGACAGAAGAAATACATGGAGGGCCACGGCCCAGGGCTACATGTGCCAGCACACTAAGCTGTACTCCTCCACACTTAGCACACTCGCCGTGAAATAGGCAAGCATTACTACGGCTCTTTTTAAGTTAAATTTTTTAAAAATTTTTTTTATTATTTTTTACTTTTTTAATGATTACAAAAGTTTATTTTTACATCATTTTGCACATTTTTTCCCCATTAAGTTAAATTTTTAATTTTGAAATGACTGGAGTTATAAAAACACAGATCCAGCAAGCTCTTTGTTTTCTCCAATGGTTACATTTTGTAAAACCATAGTATAATATCACAACCATGCTACTATGACAGATATAGTCAAGAACTTTTCCAAGGCAACAAGGATCCTCTTCCCTTTCATCACCCTTTAATATTAGAATACCTACCCTGCTTAACCCCCCTCCTGTTTCTAATACCTGGCAAACACACTAATCTGCTCTCCATCTCTCTGTGTTGCCATTTCAACAATGTTATACAAATGGAATCTTATAACACAACTCTTTGAGCTGACATTTCTCTCTGGATATTCATCCAAGTTGCTTTATCTGTCTAAATATCTGTATTTTTGCTGAGTAGTAAGTACTTCATGTACTAGTTTGTTCAGCCATTCGTCCACTGAAGGACATACAGAGTGAATAAAGCTGCTAGAAATGTTTATTTACAGGTTTTGAATGAATGTTTTCATTTCTCTGGATTAAACATCCAAAATCAGTTACTGAGTTATATTAGTTGCGCGTTTAGTTTAAAAAGAAACTGTCAAATTGTTTTCTGAGTGCCATTTTATATTCCAGTCAAGCAATGTATGAAAAAACTAGTCTCTCTGTACCCTATTGCCCATATCCATTTCTGCCCATATCCATCTGATCGGTGTATAGTGGTATCTCATTATTGGTTTTAATTTACATTTCCCCAGTAGCTAATGATACCTGACATCTTTTCAAGTGCTTTCTTTCAGGTTCTTTGTTCCCTCTAACTGAATTTTTTTTTTTTTAAGATTTATTTATGCACACAGAACTGGGGTAACAGGCCAGAGGTGCAGGGGCAGTGAGAGGATTCACCAGAGACAGAGTGGTGAGCAGAACAGGTAGACTGACAAAGTACACTACTGAAGGGAGCAGCGGGTGGGTTGGGAGAGGTCTGCTGCGCCATGTGGGTCACCTCCTGGGTGGGGATCCAATTTATGCTGAAGTGGCTTTAGCTTCTTAGTGCTGTGCTTTAACCCGCTGCGCCACCAAGGAGGACACGCCTTTTTTTTTTTTTTAAACTGATGGTTGAGTGTTCTTCATATATTCAAAACTAATGCTTGTTGAATACGTGGTCTGAAAATATTTTCATGGATCCCGCTCTGTCCATCACATCTAAGAACTGCTTGCAAATTGCTATTCTGAAAATTTTTCCCTATAAGGTTTATAATTTTACATTTATGTTAGTGGCCCATGAATTTATTTTTGTATAAAAGGTTTAGGTTAATCTTATTGGCCCAACTGTTCCCACATTATTTGTTGAAAATGCTTTCCTCTTTATTGAATAAACCTTTGTACCTTTGTCAACTTTCAGTTGTATGTATCTGTGTAGGTCTAGACCTGGATTTTTTTATTTTGTCTCGCTTACTTATGTGTTTATCCCTTCACCAATGTCACACTGCCTTAATTACTACAGCTATCTATTAGTCTTTAACAGAAGATAGAATAATTGTTTCTACTTTATGCTTCATTTTCAAAGTTGTTTAAGCTTCCAGGGTCTGTGTCTTTCTGCATACATTTTGGAATATGTTAATTTATACCTAGAAAAAACCTTGCTGGGATTTTGACAGAAAGTGCTCTAAGTATACAGATCAATTTGAGCAGAGCTGACATCTCTATTGGCAAGGAGTTACAAGTCTATGCCATTTTGTTTGGAGCAGAAACCTCATCATATACTTTCCAGCTTGGAAAACTGAGGCACATGTGAAGAATAAATGATTTAGTAATAAATCAGAGAAAACAGTCTCAGAACCACAACTATATCTCAGCCTTCTCATTCTCAGGCCAGCTGTCTTTGTCACTATATACCTACTACCTGATTAGTTACAATAACATTTTAACATTTCTTATAGAAACAAAAAGCTAATGAGCTTCAGTTACACTCGAAGATTAAAGCAACACATGAAATAGCTGAGTGAATAAAAAATTAGACTAAAAATCTTCTATCACAGTCCACTAGACCTGCTCACTTCTTTGCCTCCACATTCCCACTCCCTGAGTCCTTACCATAACCTCAGTTCTGCACTCAGAATCCAAGGGTAAGAATCCCTTTCTTGTGATGATTACTTGAACTGTATACATACATTAATTTAGAAAGCCACTATTAATGAAAACGATTTTAATGCTCAATTTTGTGTTTAACTAGAACCAACATAATTTACAAAAGATTATGGTTAATCATAGCTTTCCCTTTTCAATAGAAATAAGTTTAATTGATTTTTCTACATCATTTTATAAAGTGATTTAAATCATTATTGATACACAGAGTGTTGAATGGTTTCATTTTGATGAAGATCATTAATAGCAATTTTTTCCTATTATGTTTGATAGTGGATATCGCTGGCAGGGAAATTTTCCAACTGCATTAAAACTGACCTAAATGATCACACCCATGTCTGGTCATGTGTCCTCCAGGTCACTGCAGATACTGCTATGAGGCAAGCTTTTCTTCAATCTGCTGTGAAGCTTCCCATTCATGTATAGAACCCACATTCATAGCCCCTCTTCTGTTCTCTTCACAAAACTTCAAAAACAGTACTGATGTTTAAATAGAATCAACGTGTAATGAATAGCAAATAATTCTGCAATATTTTACATGAGGTAAACTAACAGATTAAAGTTAACTTTGATATTCCACTGAAAGGAGCATAGAAGCAATCTTGTCACAGAAGAAATATTGTTATCTGCTGCAGGGTCTTCATTATGTTTTTAGCAACTAAGGATTACTCTAACACAGATTGTGGTTTAGAAATAAAAACTCCATATATGGCAATTGCACACAACTTCCTTTCTTGATACAGGCCTCCTCCAACAGATAAGGAAAACATACAACATTTGGGTAAAATAGAGGAATTTGAGAATTTTTTTCCAACAGGGAACTCATAGAAAATAATCCACTACTAATAATCAAAATAAGTCTACCAGAACTGTCAATTTATGACAAATCTTCACTTAAGTCCCCCTATCCTTTGAATACATTATAGTTTAGAAATAAGACATATCTTTCACTCTGTATATTATCAAGTAAACTGCCAAACACTTTCACAGGCATGTTTGCAGGAGAAATAAAGATAAGGAAGCCATAATGATAGCTTAATGGGTAAAGGATAAGAGTCACACTCGATTCTGCCAAAAGCAGACCTGTAGAAGTTCAAACACGCATCCAAGAATCAGTCTGTCTGCCAACATATCAAATGCTCAGTGCATACAACTGGCAAGAAGACCCAGGGAGCTGCCACTGAGCCTGTCACTGTCACCGGTGAAGAAAGACAGACAAAGTTCACTAGACGGTTAAAACCTTGCAGGACCTGTTCTCCAAACCAAAGTTAAGTATTCTTCCTGTAACAATAAGGTCCAACACATCCTGCCAATAATTCACTTGCTGAAACATCCTGAAATAATTTTTCTTATTAACAATACCCCAGAGAACTTTGGGATTTGACAGTACAATATTATTTTAGTTTTCCTTCTCCCTATACGATATACTTCACTATCTCTCTTCTGGAATGGTAGAGGGTACACTCAAGACCAAGAAAATTCGAATTAATTTGGAGTCTGTAGAATTATTGCTTAAGACTTCCAAAGATCCTGTTAAATGTCACAAAAAGTCACATTCCATGCATATGTTATCTTTATTAATTTAGTATTTACATCTGACCTACTTTCTCAAAGAATCTGAGGAAGCTAGAGCTTTTCCCAGCAAGGTGCCAAGCAAAGAAAGGTTTGACAAAAGCTTTTTGGCAATGGTGTTAAGAGTCATAAAATTTCTAAAGAGGACACAAAGAGCTCCTAAACTAGGAAACAAAAACAAGAAAAGTTGAATGTTGAACTTAGTCAAAAACATCTATTCTAGACTTAAGGAAGACACTTCTGATTATAAAATAAGAGTGGAACCGATTACATAAACATTAGCCTGCCCTGGCAAGAAAAAAGCACACACTGTGGCCCTGACAGATCATCTTCTTTCAGACAAGAATAAGCCTGGTGTCTCCACATCAGAGCAAGGGTTAGAAATGAGCAAAGAAGAGAAAGAC